CATCAAAACATAAAATCAATAAAGATATGTCTAATCTAAATAACACTATATAAATCATGTGTCACATTTTTTTAGTCCATTCATTCGTGGAAGGACATCTAGGTTGGCTCCACAGTCTAGCTATTGTGAATTGTGCTGCTATAAACATTGATGTGGCTGTGTCCCTGTAGTATGCTGTTTTTAAGTCTTTGGGTATAGTCCAAGAAGAGGAATAGCTGGGTCAAATGGTGGTTCCATTCCCAGCTTTCCAAGGAATCTCATACTGCTTTCCAAATTGGCTGCACCAATTTGCAGTCCCACCAGCAATGTATGAGTGTACCTTTTTCCCTGCATCCTCGCCAGCACTTGTTGTTTGTCTTCATCATGGCTGCCATTCTGACTGGAGTGAGATGGTATCTTAGACTAGTTTTAATTTGCATTTCTCTGATTGCTAGAAATGATGAGCATTTTTTCATATATTTGTTGATTGATTGTATATCTTCTGAGAAGTGTCTGATCAGGTCCTTGGCCCATTTGTTGATTGGGTTATTTGTTTTTTTGGTGTTTAGCTTTTTGAGTTCTTTGTGTACTCTAGAGATTAGAGCTCTATCTGATGTGTGAGGGGTAAAAATTTGTTCCCAGGATGTAGGCTTCCTATTCACCTCACATATTATTTCTCTTGCTGAGAAAAAACTTTTTAGTTTGAATTCATCCCATTTGTTGATTCTTGGTTTTAATTCTTGTGCTATAGGTGTCTTATTAAGGAAATTGGGGCCTAGCCCCACATGATGGAGATTAGGGCCTACTTTTTCTTCTATTAGATGCAGAGTCTCTGGTTTAATTCCTAGATCCTTGATCCATTCTGAGTTAACTTTTGTGCATGGTGAGAGATAGGGATTCAATTTCATTTTGTTGCCTATATACACAATGGAATATTACTTAGCACTAAAAAATAATAAGATCATGGCATTTGCAGGGAAATGGATGGCATTAGAGCAGATTATGCTAAGTTAGCCAATCTCTAAAAAACAAATGCCGAATGTCTTCCCTGTTATAAGGGGGGGTGGGTGACTCATAATGGGAAAGAGAGGAAGAGCATGGGAAGAAGATTACCTCTACATAGGAAGAGAGGTGGGAGGGAAAGGGAAGGAGAAATGGAATTGCATGGATGGTGGAAGGAGACCCTCGTTGTTATACAAAATACATGAATGAAGATGTGAGAAAAAAAGAAAAAAAAGAATAGCGCTACCCTAGATTAGGTAGAGAGAAGTGATGGAAGGGGAAGGGAGGGATTGGGGAGATAGGAAGGATAGTAGAATGAAAGGATAGTAGAATGAAACAGACATTATTATTATTGTGTGTATATATGTGAATGCATGACCAATGTGATTCTGCAACCTGAAAAATGAGATATTATATCCCATCTGATTCAAATGTATGATATGTCAAGGTCATTATACTTTCATGTGTAACTAAGTAAAACAAATAAAAATAAATAAATAACACTATATAAATCAAATGGACCTAATAGATATCTATGGAATATTCCACCCACAATCAGCTAAATTTACCTTCTTCCTGGCTGTGCATGGAACTTTTTCCAAAGTAGATCATAATCTAGGCCACAAAGAAAATCTTAGCAAATACCAGAAATTCAGTGAAATCCCATGTGTTCTATCAGATCACAATGGAATGAAGCTAGAAATCAACAGAAAAAAGAAAATAAATCACATAAACATGTGGAGATTGAACAATAGTCTCTTAAATGAAGAATGGACTAAAAAAGAGATAAGAATAGAAAGCAAGAAATTTTTAGAAATGAACAATAATAGAGATATAGCATATCAAAATCTCTGGGACATTTGAAAGCAGTTCTAGTGGATAATTTCTAGCACTGAGTGCCTACATTAAAAATTAGAGATATCTCAAATAAATAAGCTTATGCTCCACCTCAAAGGCTTAGAAAAGAAGACAGGAAATAATTAAGATCAGCATCAAAATCAATGCAATTGAGAAGAAGAGAAGGCCTGTGATTAAATCCAATATCCATTCATGTTAAAAATGCTGGAGAAGCTAGGGATTAAAGAACTTACCTTACCATTGTAAAGGCCATTCATGACAAACCCAAAGCCAACATAATACTAAATGGAGAAAAACTAAAAGAATCTCTTCCAAATTCAGGAACAAGATAAGGCTGTCACTCTTACCAGTCCTATTCAATATAGTCATTGAAACATTAGCTAGAGCAATCAGGCAAGAAAAGGAAATCAAATGGCTACAAATAGAAAAAGAAGTCAAAATATCTCTGTTGGCTGACAATATGATCCTATATCTGGAAGACCCAAAAACTCTACTGGAAGACTTCTAGAGCTCATAAATGAGTTTAACAAGGATACAAGGTCAACACCCATAAATCAATAGCTTTCCTATACTCTAACAGTGATTCAGCAGAGGAAGAAATCTGTAAAATCATACCATTCACAATAACCTCAAAACAAAAATTTAATACTTGGGAATTACTCTTAACAAAAGAGGTAAAATAACTCTAAAGTGAAAATTATACAACACTGAAGAAAAATTGAAGAAGATCTTAGAAAATGAAAAGACATCACATGTTCTTTGATAGGCAGAATTAATATTGTCAAAATGGCTATACTACCAAAAGCCATTACAGAGTCAATGCAATCCACATTGAAATACCAATGACATTCTTCACAGAATTAGGAAAAAAAATTCTTAAATTCATTTGGAATAGTAAGAGACCCAGAATAATCAATTAAAGAGTAAGCAAGGAAAGTGAAGCAGGAGGCATCACAATGCCTGATCTGAAGTTATACTATAGAGCTGTAGTAACAAAAACAGCATGGTATTGACAACAAACTAGACACAAAGACAAATGGAATAGAAGATACATACCTAAAGTTGTCTAATATTTGACAAAGGTGCCAAAAATATATCTTGGAGAAGAAACAGCCTTTTATATAATAGGTACTGGGAAAACTGGATAGCTATGTGTAGAAAAATGAAATTAGACCCCTATCTCACCTGCACAATACTCAAATCAAAATGGATCAAAGACTTAAGAATTATATCAGAAACTTTACAACGGCTGCAAGAAATACAGCATCAACACTCCATCATATAGGTGCTGGCACTGACTTAACATGATCCCTAAAGCACAAGCAATAAAACCAAGAGTCAATAAGGGGGATGCTATTAAACTAAAAAGCTTCTGCACAAGAAAGGAAATGATTAAGAGCATGAAGAGATAGCCTACAGAATAGGAGAAAATTTTGGCCAGCTACTCCTGTTATAAGGAATTAATATCCAGAATATATAAAGAACTCAAAAAATGTAACACCCCTGCTCAATAACCCAATCAATAACTGATCAAAAGAACTAAACAGAAATTTCTCAGAAGAAGAAACACAATGGCCAAAAATATATGAAAAAATGTTCAACATCTGTAGTAACCAGGGAAATGCAAATCACAAACTACCCTAAGATTTCATCTCACTACAATTAGAATGGCAATGATCAAGAATATGAACAACAGTAAATGCTAATGAGGCTGTAGGGGAAAAGTTCCCCTTGTACATTGTTAGTAGATTGCAGAATAGTAAAACCACTCTGGAAAGCAGTATGAAGATTCTTCGAGAAACTAGTGATGGAACCGCCATATGACCCAGCTCTCACTCCTTGGTATTTTCTCAAAAGATCTAAAATCAGCATACTACTGTTACACAGCCATATCAAGGTTTATAGCACATCACAATAGATAAATTATGCAGTCAATCCAGATGCCCATCAATAGATAAATGGATTACAAAATTGTGATACACACACACACACACACAATGGAGTTCTAGCCATAAGAAAGAATGCAATTATGGCATTTGCCAGATGGAAATGAAAAATCATGCTAAGTGAAATGAGCCAAACTCAGAAATTTAAAGGCCAAATGTTTCCCCTCATATGTGGAAGCTAGAGTGAAATACAGGAAATGGGGAGGAAATGATAGTATAACATAAAGAATCAAATACAAATTATTAAAAGATGAGTGAAAGGCGATCTAGTAGTTAGGAGAATGAGATAGGAGAGGGAGGGCAGGATGGAAAATGGGGAGAGAAAAGGGGAGGAAGTCATGGATTGAAATAGATTTCCATGAATGTGTGTTTATTGGAATGAACCTGAGTACTATGTATAAAGCTCTAATAAAAAATAAAAAAATGTTGAGTCTTTTATATATGTCACTCACTTTTCTATATATTGCAGGGAACAAAATAAAACAACTTACCTTCCATTGTGGGAAGAAATAAGAATATTTATTCTTCCCCTTTCATGTTTTAGCTTTATTCAGCTACATTTTTTATTGTGGTAAATATATGTAAAAAGTCGCCATTTTAATTATTTAGGTATATAATTCGGTAACAGTTAGTACATTTACTATGTTGTTGCTATTTAATTTTGGAACATTGTTCATCACACCAAAAGGAAACCTTTACCTATTAAACAGTTACGTCCCAGAACATGTCATCTCATCCTCTAGCAACCACTAATCTGCTTTCTGTCTCTATGGATTTACATATTTTGGATAAATTCAATCATACAATATGTGACTCTTTTGTCCAGCATCTTCCATTTAGCATAATGGCAGCTGAGAGCAGGAAAAGTATATTCCAAAGACACAAAGAGACATAAAGATTTTGTTCTGGAATTATGAATTTTATAATAATAATATTATTATTTTGTTATTTACTGCCCAGGGCAGTTTACCTTTAACAATCTCTTGATTCCTCAGATTTAGAAAAATCTTGGAAGACTGCTAGGTAGAAAACTAAGATGAAAGGAACACTGTCCTCTTCTTTTTAAAAGTAAAATCCCAAATATAATGTCCACCTATTGTGATAAGCAAATACCCTGCTGTGTCTTATAATTGCTGTGGTAATGTTTAATAAATAGTTCTGAATAAACAGATTATAAAATAATTTTATATGTTGTTTTTCTTTTTTTTTTTCTAGTCAGAATTACTTCTTCTGGACTTACCTTCTCTTTATCTAGAGATTCATATTGTGCTGGATAAAGCTTTGGTATGTGTTCTGCTTTTTCTTTGCTTTTAAATATTTGATGTGAAGGTATGATTAGCCTTAGCTAAAGGATAATTTAAATATTCCCAGTCTTACTTGCCTGTCACAGAATAGTGTAAAAATGTGCAGACTGAAAAATCATATTGTCAACATCACTCTAGTTTTATCAGCAATGCTTTATTTAAAATCTTTAAATAACAATATTGCAAAGTCAGTTTTTCCACAATTTTTAGGGCCTCCTTTAAAACACACTATTTTTTTTAATGGTGATATTTGATCAAGGTGGGTTGAGGTCCTATTTGAGGGAAGTCTTTAAGAGCAGTATTAAGTGCAGGGAATGGTTTCGCTCTATAAAATATTTACTGAGTCAAGAGTGAGGATAATCTAACTATTGATCCTTGATTACTATAAACAATTTGAGGACCTGTTAAACTTCAAAACCAGGGAGTGTAACTTAGTTTGCAGTCAAGTAAATATGGTTTTCTTTCTTCTAATCTTTAAAGAGTTCAGAAAATAGGAATAAAAATGGGCTTTCCTGTTTTTAATTCAATGATAGCTTTTGGTTACCACACTTGGAAGCAACATGAGTGCTAATTCCTTGCTGAGGGCTGCAGGGTTTGTCAGGAAGCACTGAAGTCATGACATGGGGGGTATTTGGAGAAGGATATGACAATATTTGATTTATTAGTGCTGGTAAAAGGAAAAGGAAACATTTAGAATCAAGTTATTGTGATACTTAAGAGAAAATAAGATAGTTCTAATAAACATGACAAGTTTCTAGGAAATATTGTGCATTCTGGAAATTGTTTTGTTTCAGGCTTATAAAATTTTGAGGGTTACTTTAAAAGCTTCTTGATCAAATTACTAGTTTTTCAACCATACTATGCTGACTAAACATCCCCTTTTCTATGTTCTTAGGCATATTTTCAAATTCTTTAATAAAAAAAGCATTGAGTCAGCTATGAAATCTGTGTTACCAGATGTTGGCATACAGAGAATTATACTGATAATTTCTTCAGTGACTTCATAAATTGTAAATCTACAATTTTAGCATAGAGAATTCCATTTTATAACTGAGGGAAACATATGGTGTCATAAAAACACAGGTTGGTTAATGGGAACAGATACGAAAATATACAACTTTAACTTGGGATACTGTAAGAAAGTGGGTGTTTTAAAATGTGGGATTTATTATTATGCAGTTGTGTTGAGGCCAACAGATCAGAAAATGATTGCTGTTGAAAGAAAGTTTATCAATCATAGTTCCCAAGAGAAGGGAACACTCTTTGTAATGCAAGGGCCACAGCCACCAAGATCTGTCAGGAGACTGCCATCAAGGGGGGCATCTGGACAAAACCCTTTATTGTGGATTCTGCAAGAACAGACAAGGCATCCCATGAAAAGTTGATTGGCTAATTTGAATAATTTCAGTGGGCTCTGGAGTATAGTGGCTGTCCATAGTTGTCTACCTTGCCCTGGGCAGGAGAACAGTGTCTCCGAGTGTGAGGTTCTGTTAGAGAAGGTGATTTGGCTCTGGACTGACTATTTTGCATTCAAAAGGTGTACTGTTTGAGTCAGGTTTTTCGTTGCTGTGACTAAAGGATCCAACCATAACAATTGTAAGGGAGGAAATGTTTATTTAAAGGCTCACAGTTTCAGAAATCTTAGTCCATATAAGGCCGTCTTCATTCCTCAGGGCTCAAGGTGAGGCAGGACATCATGGTGGAGCGTGTGGCAGAGGGAAGCAGCTCATGTGGTGATCAGGAAGCAGAAGGGTATCCAAATACAAATATATACCCCCAAGCCACACCCACAATGACCCACTTCTTCCAGCATACCCATCTGCCTCCCTTTCCCACTCAGTTAATCCCATCAGGGATTAATTCACTGATGAGGTTTAGGCTATACCCCAATCATTTCTCCTCTGAACCTTCTTGCATTGTCTCACATGTGAACTTCTGGGGACACCTCACATCTAAACCAAAACATATACTCTGAGGCAAGTCATTTGCTAGCTCTAGGAATCAGTCAGCTCAGGATCAGCAAGTCCCCAAGATGTCAAAGTGTAATAAATATGTCATTTTAGTATAGTCATATTAATACATTAATACTGTCATATTAATACAGGGGGACACACCTATTACCACAAATAGGTAATAGGTGGAGGGTGGGGTCATGGTGGACATTGTGCTAAACCTTCCCATGCAAGTGTTAGAAAAGTTTCTATCATTAAAACACAAAATTAAGAGGCATGTGGAAATGGGTGAATTAAACAATTGATACAATATTTGGATTATATCTGAAAGGCAATGGAGAATCATTCACAATCTTTAAGCAGGGGAGTGAAAGATTCATTTTCATCGTAGAATCTTCATTTGGCATTAGCATAGAGGTAGATTGCTGGTTGGAAAATTGGAGGGGTAATCATCTAACAGATTATTCCAGTAATCAAGTTAAAAATTTATACATTGATATTAATAGGAATAGAAATAAAGGGAGACCTTTAAAATTTATGAAGTTGAATTAGAAAGCCATGTAAGTTTTTGATGTATTAATTTATTTAACAAATTTACTGAATATCATCTAGATACCAGTTCCTTTTCTAGCTATTAAGGATACAGAAGTGAACACATCAGAAATATTTGTTCTCATGGAGCATGTCCATAATAAATGTGAGATGTAATAGATGATAATACCACTAAAGAGGTGCAAATATAAGGTAGGAACAGATTTTTGAAGGAAGATGATGAGTTGAGTTTAGTTTTGAATTTGATGGTTTTGTAACATTCAAGGCATGGTATAGATGTACAGATGAGGTATAGATATATGGAGTTTGACATAGTCACAATCCAGAGGCAACACATATATACACACTCATTTATGTATTCATGTGTGTGTGTGTGTGTGTGTGTGTGTGTGTGGTTTTATGCAAAAGTGTCATATTGGTAGACTTATGCAAACCACTACCACACTCAAGATACTCACAATAATATCATCATAAGAATCTTTACAGACACACTCATACCTTCTGTCTCTCCTTAACCCTTGGCAAACACTAAGCTGTTGTTCTTTACAATTTCACAAATTGCATAAAGTTATCATACAGTTTGTTTTTTATTGAGATTTAATTCAGCATAATTTTCTTTAGGTTTATCTAAGTTGTCTTATATATCAACAGTTCAGTTTTCTTTTTATTGCTGAGTAATAGTTCATGGAATGAAAGTACTACTTTGTTTATACTACTTTGTTTAACCATTTGAGCAGTGAAGAACATACTCATTATTTTCAGTTTTTGGCTATTATGAATAAAGCAGTTAGGGACATTCACATATAGGTATAAATGTGAGCATTGGGTTTCTTTTCTTTGGGATGAATGCCCAGGAATGTAATTGATGAGTTATATAGTAAGTCCATTATTTGTTTTGAAAGAACTTGCCAAACTATTTTTCAGAATGGCTGTACCATTTTACATTCCTATCAACAATATGATTGATCCCGTTTATGTTTATGTCTTATTTTGAAATTGGAGCCCCAAATCTGCCTCAGCTTTCTGTTAGTAGAAGGAGAGTAAATCTCAAAAACATTATATAATGAATTGTGTTTAAATATAAAATTAATTCTATCTTTCAGTATGATTACTTGGGCTCTGATAGCACGATAGTAACAAATAAAATCTTTGAAATTATCAGCCTTGTAAATTCGGTAAGTATTTTTATTTTCATATCAAATAATTTTTTTGTCTTGAAATTTTCATTCATGGGGGCTGGGGTTGTGGCTCAGTCAGTGGTAGAGTACTTGCCTAGCATGTGTGAGGCACTGGGTTCGATCCTCAGAACCACATAAAAATAATTAAAATAAAGGTATTGTGTTCATCTACAACTAAAAAAATATTTAAAAAAATTTTTTTCATTCATGTTAACTTGATGTATTTCTGGGTAATTAAATCATCCATTTAAATTGAGTATGGATTTGTAAAAATATTGAAATAATTTCTTGTTATAAATTAACATAAAGATTAATTTTCATATATTTATTTCTTCTGCTTTAGGCATTTACTCAATTGAAAGTTACTATTGTGCTGACATCATTGGAGTTGTGGTCAGATAAAAATAAGATTTCTACAGTTGGCAAAGCAGATGAATTATTGCGTAGATTTTTAGAATGGATGCGGTCTTATCTTACCTTAAGGCCTCATGATGCTGCATATCTATTCATGTAAGGATGATGTTTCAGTATTCCTAGAAAGAAAAGGAATATCTGTGATTGTGATGTAGCTTAACTGAGGGACTTGGTATTCATTTCTGACTACTCAGACTTTCATTATTCATTATGTGATCTCTTTCTGTTTGTCAAGCAGCAAAAAAGATTACTAGCATTTATTTCTGAGCATATCAAATTAAGATAAGATTTAAAGAGGTTAAGCTATCTCAGGACTCTCACCCAGTGGGTATATCTAGGTTTTGAACTTAGTTTGTAACTCCAGTGCCCAAACAGCCACTACATTAAGAGATGGGAGTTGTAAGTTTATATCTTGATATAAACTTGATCAAAACTTGGAAAAATAGGTTACAAATATTTTTTTCTAATAAATTTTTTGCATTATTTTAAAATTATTTTAAAGTTGGCACTTTAACATTTCCTTTTGCATGCATAAGATTCATCTTTCCCTCATGTATCAGTCGGCAATAAATGTTGTTACTCCTTTAATTTTTGGTCATCTGAAGAACATAAAGTAATGCCATTACATAACATCTTAGTTTCCTTTTTTTCTGATGACTAGTGGATTTCAACATCTTTCATGTGCTTCTTGATCACTTGCCTCTGTTCTTTTGTAATTGCCTTTTCATGCCATTTGAGTGTTTCTTTATAATTTGTGAGGATGTTTTGAATGTTTAGATATCAAACTTTTGTTTATGAGCATGACAGATAATTTTGTATATCTATAATAATTTTGCTCCAGTATTACTTTTACATTTCATATGGTTAACATTGCTAATATTTTATTTTTTAAATTTGGGTTTTCTGTATGATGGAAAAGCTCTCTCCATGTTCTAGATTTTAGTCTGCTATTTTTTTAGAATTAATAATATTGAAGTTTATAATTTAAGTCTTTAATCCAAATTCAGCTATTTTTTGAAAGTACAAAATAGAGGTGCACTTTTGTTTTCTGTCATATGACAGAAGGCATTGCCTGTGTGTGCCTATGTGTTGGAGTGTTGATCCTATGTTTTCTTCTAGCAGTTGTAAAATTTTGGGTTTGATTCCTAGGTCTTTGATCTATTTTGATGTTACTCATATTTGAATGAGTTGATTGTTCTGTGCCCATGCCAACTCTCCACAAAATGATCGTGTCAAGGGGTGAGTGTAGAGGGAACAGGGTAACTTCCCAGGTTTGTCTGTTTTAAGGCTTTGTCTTTTGTTGTTTCTGTGTTGAATGTTCTTCAAAGTATGCTTCCATTGCTTGCTAGTATTTTTTTTAAACTCTCTATGCCTGTACTAATATTTTCACTCATTCTCCCCGCCCATGACTAACTTCTTTCAAGTACATACCTCTTGCCTTCCAATGTGATCTTCTTCTTCTTGGAAATTTTATTTTTGTTGGAGTTGTCTGATATTTGCAATAACTGAAACTTTCTGTCTACTTTCCATGTCTTCTTTTTTTCTGCTTCCTTTTTGTTGATTTGAATACTTTTATAGTTTAAGCATAATATTTGTAACATTGAAATACCATTTAATTAATCTCGTTATTAATTTAAAATTTAATTAAATTATTAATTTTAAAGTTGTGCTTTAAAAAATATTTTATGGGGCTGAGGTAAAGTTATATATTACTTGACTATGTGTGTTTTTGATTCTCAAAATTGCTAAAACTTTCTTGGTAATATTTCTCTATGTCACTTATACATAAATACCTCTTTTTATCTTTGAAGATAAATAAAGATATTTATCTTTATTTTATTCTTTATTTATCTTTGAAGATAAGTAAAGAATATTTCCAAGTAAATTTAGTATGCATTTATGGGATGGTATCAAACTAAAAAGCTTCTTCACAGCAAAGGAAATAATCAAGAACGTGAACAGAGTGCCTACAGAATGGGGGAAAATCTTTCCCAACCGCATCTTAGAACATTAATCTCTAGGATATACAAAGAACTCAAAAAACTCAACACCAACATAAATAAATAAATAAATAAATAATAAATAAATAAATAAATAAATAAAAACAACCCAATCAACAAATGGGCTAAGGAACTGAACAGGCACTTCATAGAAGAAATACAAATGGTCAAAAAATATAGGAAAAAATGTTCAACATCTTTAGCAATTAGAGAAATGCAAATCAAAACTACATGGAGATTCCATCTCACCCCAGTCAGAAGGGCAACTATCAAGAATACAAGCAAGAATAAATGTTGGTGAAGATGTGGGAGGAAAAGTTTCACTTATACATTGCTGGTGGGACTGCAAATTGGTGCAGTGACTCTGGAAAGCTGTATGGAGATTCCTCAGAAAGCTTGGAATGGAACCACCATTTGATCCAGTTATCCCACTTCTTGGAATATACCCAAAAGATTTAAAATCAGCATACTACAGTGACACAGCCATTTCAATGTTTATAGCAGTATAGTCCACATTAGCTAAGCTGTGGAACCAGCCTGGGTTCCTTGAACAGGTGGATAGATAAAGAAAATGTGGTATATGTACCCAATGGAATATTACTCATCCATAGAGAAGAATGAATTTATGGCATTTGCTAGTAAATGGCTGGAACTGGAGAATATCATGCTAAGTGAAATAAACAAGTACTAAGAAACCAAAGGTAGACTGTTCTCTCTGATATGTGGACGCTAGTCCACAAGGGAGGCGAAGATTAGAAGTTCGTTGGACTAGACAAAGGGAATTAGGTAAGGGAGTGGAGAGGGCAAAGGAAAGACAGTAGAATGAATAGCACCTATCCTTCCTATCCTTAAATATGAATCCATGACCAATGTCACTCCACATCGTGTGCAAGCACAACAATGAGATCCTAACTGGAACAAGTCATACTTATTCTATGTATGTATAATATGTCAGAGTAAAATCTACTGTCATGCTTCCTTTCTTATCCCTTCAGTCTTATTCATTATAATCACATTTAGGTCTTCTAAAGTTTAATATTCTATGGTGATTTCTGAGTTCTGAAATCTTATGGTCTAACCTGTTTGCTACATTCTTTTCAGTTACATTGTCAATTATGACTTTCTCGGTGTACCTGAGATTTTGTTAATTGTTCTTAGTTTTTTAAAAAATAAACTTGATTTCATGTAATTTGTATGATTTTTATCTCTATTTCTGTTCTGCTCTTTATTTTTATTCTACTAAATTTGGGTTTGGTTTATTCTTGTATTTCTATTTCTGAACAGAGAACATCTTGCTATTCTCATTTGTTACTTGTTTTTCTAATGTTTTAATTTTCTAATGTTTTCTAATGTTGTAGTTCATTTCTTCCACTTTTATTGTGTTCCTTCATGGTTAAGTGATTTTTCTCTCACAGTATGTTTTGATTCCTTGCTTGAGGCACAATGATAGGTTGTTTAATTTGAGAGCTTTCTATTTTTTTGATATTGGCATTGATTGATGTAATCTGTTTTTGATTGATTTTATTATTTTAAAAAATACACAACAATAGTGGAATGCATTACAATCCTTATTACACATATAGAGCACAATTTTTCATATCTCTGTATATAAAGTAGTGCTCTCATTTACCTCTAAGAATTTTTTATCTCCTCCTTGATGTCTTCTGTAACCCATTGTTCATTCTCTAGTATACTGTTCAGTCTCCATTTGATGCAGAATTTTTTATCCTATTTTGTTGTTGATTTCCAATTTCATTCCATTATGATCTGATAAAATGCATGGTAGTATCTCTACTCCTTTGTATTTGCTAAGAGTTGCCCTGTGGCATAGTATATGGTCTGTTTTTGAGAAGGATCCATGTGATGCTGAGAAGAAAGTGTATCTGCTTGATGTTGATTGATATATTCTATATATGACAGTTAAGTCTAAGTTATTGTGTTATTGAATTCTATAGTTTTTTTATTCAACTTTTCTTTGGAAGATCTTTCCAGTGGTGAGAGAGGTGTGGTAACGTCACCCAAGATTATTGTGTTGTGTTCAATTTGACTCTTGAATTTGAGAAGAGTTTGTTTGATGAATATAGCTGCACCATTGTTTGGGGAATATATATTTATGATTGTTATGTCTTATTGGAATAACATTACATACTGTTCCTTTGAGCAGTATGTAATGTCCATCTTTATCCCTTTTGATTAACTTTGGCTTGAGGTCTACTTTATTTGATATGAGTACAGAGACCCCTCCTTGTTTCCGCCGTCCATGTGAGTGGTATGATTTTTCCCAACCTTTCACCTTCAGACTGTGTATGTCTTTTCCTATCAAATGAGTCTTCTGTAGGCAGCATATTGTTGTTGTTGTTTTTTAATCCAATATGCTAGCCTATGTCTTTTGATTGGTGAGTTTAAGCCATTAACATTTAGGGCTACTATTGAGACATGGTTTGTATTTCCAGTCATATTTGTTTATTTTTGTCATTTAACTTGACTTGGTTTTTCTCTTTGATTAGTTTTTCTTTTAGTGCACTACCTCCCTCTGCTGGTTTTCATTATTATTTTTCGTTTCCTCTTCATGAAATATTTTGCCAAGGATGTTTTTTAGTGCTGGTTTTCTAGCTCTAAATTGTTTAACTTTTTTTTTTTATTGTGGAAAGTTTTTATTTCATCTACAAATCTGAAGCTTAGTTTTGCTGGATACAAGATTCTTGATTGGAACCCATTATCTTTCAGAGTTTGAAATATGTTGTTCCAGGATCTTCTAGCTTTCAGGGTCTGTGTTGAAAAATCTGCCATTATCCTAATTGGTTTACCCTTATGTGTAATCTGGATCCTTTCTCTTGTGGCTTTTAAAATTCTCTCCTTATTCTGTATGTCAGGCATTTTCATTATAATTTGTCTTAGTGTGGATCTGTTGTGATTTTGCACATTTTGCATCCTGTAGGCTTCTTGTATTTGGATTTCCATTTCATTCTTCATGTCTGGAAAGTTTTCTGATATTATTTCATTGAACAGATTGCTCATTCCTTTGGTTTGGACCTCTATGCCTTCCTCTATCCCCATAACTCTTAAATTTGGTCTTTTTATGCTATCTCATATTTC